CTTCTAAGTAACTACTTCTGTCTGTTCCAAAAGTTCAGAACACCAGAACCGAGGAACACGCCTTCATTAACGCAGCATCATGTTTATAATGTTTTTAGGACTGAGTAAAGTCCAACTCGGTCTGTAATTATACGAGTGATTGACAAAATTGGACGGCCGCGAAGTGGGAGCCCAATTTGTCTGTCACGAGTATGATTATATACTATTCTGTGGAGTTTTGGATTTTGGTTCTGTCGATTACATTTGCGGCAAACCACCATATTACAGTTGGAAAACAAAAAAAATATTTTGCACCCTGACAGACCTGGACTCTTTTTGTCGTAGATGCACGTAAATAATTTTCAACACCGCAACATTAGCTAATGTCATTTTTGCATTCGAAGGAACTCGCTTTCTGTTCCAAAGAACATCTTTAGAAAGGCAGAACTAAACATTTTTAATCCTCTTCCAGCAAAAGTTTTGAAAATGCTGCTGCTCGCAGTTACTTCATGGTGGTATTCAAATCCCTTGCGCTGTATTATAATGTATCTGATGGAGACATCATTTATAGGCAGATTTCTTTTCTAAATCGTACATTTAACTTTGTAACAGTCTGGTGCAACCTCGCGAAGCATACGCGGGTTATATCTCATTCGGACCTTGAGCTTTTGTAACGTTTTTTTTTGTAACGTCCAACATCCCCTCGGATGGTGGGGATACATAAAGAACAAAACGCCTATCTGGGATATGAGTTCTCTGCGTTTTCGACTGCAACGAAATCGATGAATTGGCTTAATCACAATTTACAACACACTTCTCCATTAGTGCCTTTTGTTCGTCGTACTCAGAGCTTCTGCTACAACTGGAATCTCCCATGTAGTTTACTTCCTCTGGGCAAAAATTGTCAAAGAAAGTTTAGAGGTTGCAGAGCGGGAAAAATAGTTCAAGAAAAGCGGCGGCGCTTGAATTATATTCGAGCTTTGGTCTCACCCAAGGCTGTCGATTAAAGTCTTCACGATTTACATGCATGATGAAGACTCCTGTTGGATCGAATCTTAGAAATTTAATTGAACTTACTCCTAACCCGATTAAAAGCTACACACCAAGGGCTCGCTTCGTGAATTTTTGCTTGCTAAATGCTCGTTCAATTAACAACAAGACTACTATCATCAAGGACTTTGTCGTCGAAAATAATATTGATCTTCTTGGCTTGACAGAAACATGGCTTCAATCAGATGCTGACAATGAATTAATTATTCGTGATTTATGTCCTTCAGGTTATTCATTTCATCATGTTCCTAGACCTGGTTCTACTCGTGGAGGAGGAGTTGGCTTGTTATTTCGATCATCTTTCAACTTAAAGTTGCAGCCGCTCAAGAAGTTTTTGTCCTTTGAATATATGGATTTGTTATTGTCAAGTACAGTCGGTTTAAAACTCAGAGTTATTATTGTTTATCGCCCACCTCCCTCGACCTTGAATGGTTTAACACCCTCATTGTTCCTTGATGAGTTTTCTACGTTCCTGGAGCACTATATCGCTGATCCCGGTGGAATATTATTAGTTGGTGATTTTAATATACATGTTGACACCTGTTCTTCCCAACACTCAACTGAATTTCTTCAATTGTTGGATTCTTTCAATCTTACTCAACATACACATGGCTCAACGCATAAAGATCGACACACCTTAGATCTTGTGATTACAAGATCTGATGATAGTATTGTTTCAAATTTGACAATTGGTTCTCCTTTTGTCATCTCTGATCATGCTGCTGTTCACTTCCAGCTCTCGCTTAATAAGCCGCCGCTCGACAAGAAGATTATTTCATTCAGAAAGCTTCGATCTATTGATTTTGATAATTTCTGTGCTGATGTTATGAATTCGAGCCTTCCTGATCTTTTTGCCTCGTCATCGTCATCCTTGGATTATTTGATTGATCAATATAACAGAGTCCTTACTACCATACTTGAGACTCATGCTCCACTGCAAAAAAGTTAGTTACTTTGCGTCCCGCTGCACCTTGGTATTCTGAGGAGATAAATAATTTAAAGAGATCCCGTAGAAAACTTGAACGACGCTGGCGAATGACAAAACTTCCTTCTGATCGTAAGTTGTTTATTGAGGGATGTGATGCTGTCAACAACTTAATTCGTGATTCCAAGAAGAATTATTTCGCATCATTAATCAATGAGAATCAGTCAAATTATAAACAGCTTTTTAAGATAATTGATAAACTACTACAAAGGAAAACAGATATTCAATATCCCCCTGCAAATCGCCCACTGATCTTGCTAACAAGTTTATTAAGTACTTCACTACAAAGATAGATAGAATACGGGGTCATATAACGACTGCTGCTTTCCCTCATCGAGATACAGTTGTTGTTGTTGACAACGCCTGTCCACATTCTTTTGATATTTTCAAAATGGTAACAGCGGATGAAGTTCATACATGTATCATGAATCTGGCTGCTAAGTCATGTGCTCTTGATCCTCTTCCTGGTTATGTTACAAGAAATGCACTTAGTGTTCTGTTGCCTTTCATTTCCAAAATCATAAATATCTCATTGGAATCTGGTCAGATGCCTTCGCAACTCAAGGTTGCAATGTTACGCCCGCTCCTTAAGAAATCTTCTTTGGATCATACTCAATTCTGCAATTATCGTCCGGTATCGAATCTTTCATTTATTAGCAAAGCAATTGAAAAATTGGTAGCTAATCAACTTATCTCCTACATTAACGATTATGAGTTAAATGAGACATTCCAGTCGGCGTACAAGAAATATCACAGTGCTGAAACTGCACTTATTCGTGTTCACAATGATATTCTTTCTGCCATTGATAATCGTCGAATCGTAATTTTGCTGTTGTTAGACCTTTCCGCTGCCTTCGATACAGTCGATCATACCATCCTCCTCTCTCGTTTACGTGTACGGTTTGGGATAGCTGGGAAGCCTCTATTATGGTTGCAATCTTATTTATCGAATCGCACGCAATATGTCTCTGTTGATGGTGGTACTTCGACGAAACATGACCTTAAATGTGGAGTGCCACAAGGATCGGTTTTGGGACCCATTTTGTATTTGCTTTATACTTCACCGCTTTCAGATATCGTAAAGAAATTTAACCTGAGCTATCATTTTTATGCTGACGACTCACAGCTTTACTTGTCTTTCCAACCAACCGTACTGGGTGATAGGGATCTAGCGGTTTCTAGCATCGAGAGCTGTGTGGATGAAATCAGTCATTGGATGATGGTTAATCGTCTTAAATTAAATAAAGACAAAACTGAATTATTGGTAATTTCCGCTAAACATCTTCCAAGACCACTCCTTCACGAAATTTCAGTTGCTGGTGAGACTATTCCTTCCGTGCAAAAGGCGAGGAATATCGGCACTATGTTCGACAGCCATTTTTGCTTTAAGGATCATATTACTGACATTTGTAAATCTTCATTTTATCATTTGCGAAATATTAGCTATATCAGGAAATATCTTTCAGCGACCACTACTGAATTGCTGGTTCATATGTTTGTATCTTCGAAGCTGGATTACTGTAATTCCTTTTTTGTATGGCCTACCAGCCTACGCTATAAAAAGGCTACAACACGTTCAAAATGCCGCGGCGCGCCTCGTCACACTTACAAAAAAAAACATGATCACATCACGCCTGTTCTTTTCAATCTTCATTGGCTTCCCGTTAACCAACGTATTATTTTTTAAGATTTTACTTATAACCTACAAGGCACTTAACAACCTGGCACCGTCGTACATTTGTGATCTGCTTACATCTTACACCCCATCGCGTCAACTACGCTCATCATTCAAGCACCTTCTGGTTTCTCCATCCTATAACTTGAAAACATATGGCGCAAGATCCTTTTCTGTAGCAGCACCATCATTATGGAATGCTTTGCCAAGTGAAATTAGAAATGCTCAGTCTGTGTCTGTTTTTAAACGTAGATTAAAAACTTTACTCTTTAGAAAAGCCTTTTATAATTAATATTAGCTGTCTTAAGTGTTAATGTTTAAGTTTTTTTTCTTGTAGGCGCCTTTGAACAGTAGGATACTGGCGCGGTATAAATCTTTTATTATTATTATTATTATTATTTAAACCAATGAGTAATTTCTCGATCTCAGATTTAGAGCAAAGTAGACTTGAAATAACTTGATCAGTAAAGGTTTGAAGATCGTCACGTAACTTCTCAGGAATACAAGGACTCTCTGTAAAAACCGTTGAGAAGAAGTTGTTAAATTGCTGTACTTATCGCAGCTGTTTTGAGTCTTTTGGTTCTCCAGAGATAATTCAGGTGGAATAGATCGTGATTTCGTCTTGGATTTTATGAAAGTCCAGGAAGGTTTAGGATTATTACTGTCGCGAAGAGACTGTACATGGTGCCCATAGCTCTTGGCGATCTAAGCGATCTTTTCGGTAGATATTATAGTCAGATGACAGGATTTCTTGATCCATTATATCAGGGTTCAGCCATGTTTCGGTTATAGCGATGATTTATAATACCTTTGTAGCGACCATAGCTTGCAGCTCAGTTCTCTTGTTGATAATACTACGTGCATTTAGACTGCATGATTTGAGAGTCGAGGAATCGAGAGGCCAAGGGCTCAGTTGAATGTCGTTAGATATTAAAAGGAAAATAATTAATAGATATTTTCTGGTAGAATAGTGATGGCGGAGCATCGATTTCAGTTTCCAGATTTGTCGAACTTTCGGAGACTCATCCTTGGGAATGTAGCGGCCGAGACCATTTGCAAATGAAGGCCTCTGATAGATACTATCATTTCTTGGGCTTTTCAGAAACACGTTTGAAAAAAGAAAGCGTCAGGAGAAACGAAATAAGCGGAGCCACATGGAGAGCGTCCACCATAGCCAATTACCATATTGATCTGTCCCATGATGAACAAATCAAAAAGAAAAAACAAAACAAAACAAAACAAAGCAAAACATTGCGTACCCACTATGGTGATGTTGTAAAATGTTTGTTTTTATACAATAATGATCCAAATGATCAAACGCAAATTTTATTATCAATTTTTAAAAGGCCATCATTAAATCAAACACTCTTTATTTCGCCCTCCCGAAGCAGTTACAGTTTCACAACTGAAGGGCAATGTACTTCATTCTTATTAATGTAAAATCTTACCAATATACGTCAGGGACATAAAATCTTCACTACAGCCTTGATTTTATCTATTTCCCCAGTCAAGTCCTAATAGAAAAATAATAACCAAACCTATGTTTGGATCGGCTGTCATTATGTAATTACAAATACATTTTCACATAAATCTATATTAAATACAGTTAAATTTTGAAAAAAAAAATTCTATGAGGACTAATCATTTTTCTAAAGTAATCTCTTCACATGTCACTGAATTCGTTGCTTTCAGTTGACGCTTCGCAAAAACTTACTCGCATGCAAACACCTCAACTCGTACATATTTCCTACAAGAGCTTCATTATAAAATAATCTCTATAAAGCACTATTTAATATATTTAATGTTACGATGAACTTCTCCCGTAAAAAAAGAAAAATTGTATATACATTCAAGAACTATAGTTCTACATGTAGTACTCATAAGTTACGAATTAAATTTATGCTTACCTATTGATTTTCCTCTTTTTTTAAGCAATATTAACTTGTTTTAACTTCACGTTGATGAGCAGTAAAGCAATTTTCAATTGAATGTCGCATAACCAATACCAAAGCAACCACAACAGCCAATCATAACAAAGAAAGTATCACAAGGAGCCGATGAGAAATCGAAGTATAGACAAGTAAACTGCCTGAAGCGCGGGAAAACGAGAGTGACCCACTCGCGATTGGTTTTAGTTTTTAATCTGATTGGTTGAATAAGTGGCGCGAGTTTTCTTGGCCAATCACATAATGAAGAAGAGCAAAACCAAAGCAATCCCGGATTAACTTCGTGACTCAATTTAAATTTGCTTTAAATGCCCAGACACTACAGTTCCGACAAAATTTCCATCGTTACTTCTGGTTAAGACATTTGTAGTCTTCTAAATTATAAAAGTTTAAATTCACAAATTACACAAATTGAACGTAAGAGGTTATTTCCACAAATAATCGCTTCTGAAAGCAATTTTTCATCACTTAAACATAATCAGTTTTATAAAACCAGAGATATAGAACATGCTCTGCAAGAGGTTAACAAGCGAAGTTATTAGGTTTCAAAAATTTCACCGTCTATTCCACGATTGACTATCCAGTGATAGACATGTTTGGTAAAAATAGTGTTTCTCATCGGTTACTCTAGACGTATCATTTTGGAACCAGACTGGCGTTGGACAGACGTTTTCCAATTCACTAATTAGGGAAGCACAATAAAAATTATGAATTTCAAAATAGGTTACTGTGCGACACGCAAAAATTCACTTCTGCAGATTGGCGCATCTGTTGAATATATCTGACATTGCAATAGTAAGTTTTCGTTTCCGTGACTTTATATTAAAAATAACTAGTAAAAAGCAAAAAAATCGCACAAATTCTCTCTTTTTCTATCTAATCCTGATGGGAAGCTAAGGCAAATCAACCCCTTCCACTTCAAAGATCTGAATACTGGTTCTCCTAGACAACAACCAAACCATTCTTCGTCCAAAGGTCCTAAGAATTTTACGTTATATTCTGGTTATAAGTATTCTTCTAGTTAATAATTTCCTAATCCTAAAAAGTATTTCGCGGGACCACCGATTATCGCTGCTGCATTAACTAGCCTTGGTCCTTCGGATTTGTTTTCGCAGTTCTTCGAGTTTAACATATCCTTTTTCCCTGGCAAACCGTTTAACAACGTTTTCAAGGCTTGAAGTTTGCATAGTCATCAAACGCTGACAAGTAATCCTGGATGGCGTAATGGATGAATTTATATTCTCCCTAGAGAAAAAGAGTAAAAAGTCGTGATCAGGTGATCATTGTTCACCACCACATGGAAGATTATGGTATATTCTCAGACACCAATATATATATATACACACATCAAATTTACTGAATTTAAGATGGTCAAAGACTTACAGCCGTCTTCACCAGTCCAGGCCGAGGAATTCGCATGGCCTTGATGGCCTGAAACACATCAACGACCTGTTCAATCTTCAAACGTTCCAGTACTGAGTACAATGCACAAAAAGTTCCACTCCGACCCAGACCGTCACTGAATGTCAAGAAAGGAAATTAATGTTAACAAGATAAAAGTTGTAACTTTAAGAACTTCCTATGTTACAGGCATCAGTAAATGGTGCAGCGGTCGTGCGCTTAGCCCATCTCAACCTGTAGCAAATCATCAAGTACGAATGTGAATGTGAAAGTGAATGTATACTCCTACTAACCTGCAAACAACTGTGATGGGTCCATTCCCAGAATGTTGCTGCCATTTCTCAACCTTTGCTATCAAAGTGATCAGACCGGCCGCAGGAGGTTCTTCATTTTCATTCACCCATCCGCTGTATTGAAAAATCTTTATACGCAGACTCTTTTCTGGTGTCTGAGAGTATAAAAGCAAGAGCGTTTTTTTTTATTTTTATTTTTTAAGAAGAATGACAAGAAAGATCGTAGTCCCTTAAAATTGAAAGACAGTACACGCAAGAAACAAATCTAAGAGTTTGAAGTGTGTCGGTGTACGCTATTCATACTCACTCTCAGGTCAGTGGCTTTAAATGTCTTCTCAGTGATTTCACTTTGATCAAAAGTTGCCTTCAAGTTATCCACACTGCTGCTGTTCGCAGCCAATCGCTGGACGGTCAACATGTCATCATAAGTCTTGGCATCCGTTTCTGAATCTGGCCAGAATTCTGGGAAATCCTGAATGGGCAAAGCGTTCGTCTTAAGAACTGTTTTGTGCTTTAAAATAGGCAATACTTATCTCTTTTAGCAAACATAGACTCTGGATGCGGATCAGCTGTTTAGCAAAATCATAAATTTTCATTTTCTTTGTTACTGTTTCTGTTCGATTATAAAATTTTAGGATCTAAGGAAAAGCAAAAGCAAAAGTGTTTGAATGTGACAAATCAAAGAAAAAATATATATATCACTTATCATAAACATATCCATTACCCCTTCTTGCTCCTTTGAATCAAACCACACGACACAGCAACTCTCTTGCTCACAGAGCATGCGCCAAAAGTCTGTCACGGTGGACGAAAGTGGATGTTGCGTGACAACAAAAGCATGTTGCTGCTTGTAGCCCTAAGGAGAAAAAGAAAGATACAGTCAGAGAATAGAAATTAAGAACTGCTTTACGGTGTATTATGCATTATTTACCATGAAACATCGATACATGACTGGTATATGTAGATGGACATCGGAAGAAAGAGAAGGATCACTCACCGAAATGTGAACAGCATTTATGTACGACGTGGATTCGTTGTCGTCAATTGCTGTGAGCACCACTCGATAGCAGTCAGCTGCGTAAAGACAAAATTGAAAGGCAAACTTGGTATTTCTGGGAAAGAGGAGCGAGCTTGTTCCGTTATTTATTATACATGAACTATTACAAAAAGAAATCACTTAACAAATGGATCACTTTCATGCTTCTGCTAAAATCTATACCAAACGATTAACAACATGTAAGGATGAAAAACACATCTTTTCATTAAAACTAAAATCCAACTCACGAGCTAAGATGTCAGGTGATCTGTTTTTCTCCCTATTCTCTGGATATGACGCCACAGTGCAGTGCCCTTTGTGAAGAACTGGACTTACTTTGTTGAGTCTCTGAAACAAACAGGAAATAAAACAATTACGGAACGAAAGAAGGGAGAATACATTTGCAGCCAGTCTCTACTGAGGTGAGGACCTGACATACCAGTAGAACGTCAGCCTAGTAGTATGTGAGTTCGACATTTGACTTCCTCTCCAGTCTGGTCGATTGCCATATAACTTTTTTAAGATTTCATTTGATTTAGAGTGGCTCAACGAGGTTGTGGTTGGAGCCACCAGAATTTCAGGATTCTATATATCACACTGCCTTGAAAGGCAGAGATTATAATAAGGAGGTACGTGACCATACTTTGGGTGATGTTACTGTCACATAGGATTACTTCAGTCTTCGAATATTAGTGTCCAATTAAGTTTACTTCGAAAGAATCACGACTACACTACATGAGAACCAACAAAGATGTCTCAGGGAGCCAAAAACCCCCATGGATTGACGCACGAGGGGTATTTTAGCATTAAAGTCTACAGGATGCACCGCTAATCGCGAGGTGACTTAATTTTGTGGGCTCTGAGGAAAGAAAAAATAATTATAGCGCCCACTTCTTTCCCAAACTTTTACAGTAACAAGGTTTTGTTACCTTGAACTCAGACTCAAAGCGAGTTATCTTTGTCTCTGCATCCACGTCACTCATCCGAGCGAGGGTGATCCTTAGGTCGTGAGCGTAGATTTGAGTGTTACCACACTGAACTGCTTCTAGAATAGCGTCATGGCAGAATGTGTATTGTTCCTAGAGGAAAATTAAAACAACAAATATTGAACTAAGACCGTAAGGAAAAGTAACAACGATTGTAACATGTTCTATGTTGTCAGAAGGAAAAGCATCTAACTCAACCCTGCTGCGTACTGCACATAGGTGACTGACGTTTACATATATCTGTGCGCTTCGTAAAATTCTATGAACAAAACCAAGAAATTCAAATCAAGAACAACAACAAAAAAACCAAATATAGCAACAATACTCACCTCAGTTTGAACCATGGCTGTTCTACGTGTTCGCAAGTAAGCCACAAAGTTGAAAATGTCTATTGTTCCTTCTGCTTTGATTCTGTCCAACATGCTATCGATAACGATGAAAGTACCTGTTCTACCAACTCCAGCACTAGAAAAATTAGACAACTATAAACATGAGAAAGAGCCATAGCCAAGCAAAATACATAAGTAGAATTTAAGAGGACAGGCAATGATGCGCCAACCTCCAAATAGACAAATACAAAAACACTGAATGTAGGGACGACAGTACGTCATTCAAATCTAAGTGTACGAACGGATGGACGGATTTACAGACAGACAGACCAACTGACAGACAAACAGTCAGAAAAGAGCCTTAAACTGGCAGACATCATACCTGCAGTGCACAATGGGAGGTCCAGCATCAGCCGGGTTATAAGCTCTGACTCGTCTTCGAAAGGCCAGCAAGGCAGTTGGATATTCAGGTACTCCATGATCTGGCCACACAGTAAAGTGAAACTGTTTAACTTCTCTCTCCTCTTTTTCACTTTCCTAAAAAATACAGAACAAAAGAGAAGTTCAGTGCATAATGATCACGATACCAAGCAGTGAGTTTGAATTTGAAATCAGGTGAACTTAACATCGATACTGACCCGTTTGACGTTAAATGTTCTGATGTTATAATCGGAGTAATGCTCTGACCTGACAAGCATTACAGATATGTCACCGTAGTCTTGGGTCTCATCCGGCCAGTATTTGTGACACTTCAACTAAGGAGATAATGGAGAGGAAACCGGGTGAGACACACCGGGGTAAAAGAGTTTTACCCAAATAATCTTCATGTATTAAATTTAATAGATGGAATCCGGAAAAAAAACAAAGCAAAACAAAACACAACAAAATAAAAACAACAACAACAGCAGGGCGTGAAATTAACTTTTTTTTCTGATAGCCACTTGGCTCCTAAATTCTTCAAAGTGGTAGCCAATTCAAAAAAAGTTGGTCGCCATTTTCAAAGACAAACAAAATCTTTCTTTACGCTGTCAGCGTTCTAGATAGACCCTCCAAAATTAAGTTAGGGAAAAGATCTTTAACGTGCTACAAAGTGGACACTAGAATGGATGATATACAACGTTCAGGCTCATCTAAATCCAAGATGGCGTCTAGTTATCGATCGAGATGCATGTGCTACGTTTTGGAAACAAACTTAACGAGGAAGTTTGCCGCGGATTTATCTTTGCAAATCTTTTTAATTCACTATATCTCTTGGTAAGGTTATGATGAAACGTTCTAGTCGCCAATTTGGCGACTAACTTTCAGGATTTGGTCGCCAAAGTGAAAAATTTAGGCGCATTGGCGCCTGTATTAGGCGCAATTTCACGCCCTGCGAACAACAACAACAAACAAACAAATAAAAAAAATAAAAAAAAAAAAAAAAAAAAAAAACGAAACAAACGAAACAGAAAAAAAAAAAAAAAAAAAAAAAAGAAAACAGACCGTGTTCGAGCCTTGATCAGAAAAATCGAAGCGAATTCTAAATCAAGGCACAAACTCTTGATTGGTCCCTTGTTATACCCTTCAATAAGTTAAAATGAGTTATACAGGAAATTTGCTGAGGATGCCTGAAGTGAAGGTGGAGATAAACTAAGAGGGCATCATGCGTAAGACAATAGTATCACTAATGTCGCTAAATGCTGTAGAATTTGAAAATATGAAAGTACGATCTGCTTAGTTTAGGCGGACATTAAAATGTGATCTTCTTAATGAAATGCCGGGTTATTAATACTTTCTGACATCTCCTTTATGAGAAGAAATTAATTTTTTTGCGAAAAGACTCTACAATTTCATGGAAATAACTCATCCACATACCTTATGTCTCTCTTGTAGATTAGTCAGCATAACTATTGTGGAAGACTGCTGTTCCCAGACCATACGCCAAAAGTCGTCAAAGGTTGGAGGCACTGGACCTAATGACCAACCGTAAAAATGCGTCAAAGGGCCGGAAAATTGTTCATCAGCGTGGATTAAGAAAGGAAAACATTCGTTGACCCAAACTAAAGTAACATGTATTACTGAGTGGAAAGATCTGAGGTAATCCAAAAGAGATTGGCGACACCTTCCATAGGCCATTTTGGTTCTTCATTATTTAATCAATATCAAGAATTATTGAACATTGCAAAAGAAACAATCAAACAAAGAAACATCCCGTACCTTGACTGGCAACGTATGCATTGGGTTTGTTGTATCCCTGGACATTGACAAACAAACAAACAAACAAACAAACAGGAAATGTTAAAAAAAGTAAATAAATTTAAAAAAATGGAAAAAAAATCAATCGATCAAAATAAAATATAAATGAAATACAAATTGTTCCAGGGGAGGAGGGGGGGGGGAGGAAATTGATTAAAGAAGTCACGTACAGGTGCAGCTTTGAAGTTAGTTACCAGTGCCAAAGAGCTAAAATGAGCCACAAAAAAAGCGTTAGGAGATATGAAATTCTAATAGAGATGGCTGAAAAAAACTCGGGTTTCAACGAATTACGAATTCATGCCCCCTAGATACTATTTTAAGTTTTACTAGCATAAGTTATCATAGGCAAAATCTCACTCACATCAACTCTTGTAGCGTTGATATAGTCTGAGCCAGGCTCTCCTTCGATTGGGGTCAGGACGACTCTTGAATGATCATCTGTGTAAAACAAGAAAAGTTCCTGGCTGGTAGGTAATGAGTCAGAAACAAAAGAGAAAACAAAGAAACACCGCTGAAAGGAAGATATTCAACGATGCATGAAAATTCAGTCCGGCTAGCACCAGTTTGCTTAAAATCCTACTGTTATAGTAGTAGGTGATATACTTTACACTTACACGCAATAATGTTGCCATATCTGTTCTTAGCCTTATTTTCTGTCATTAAGCCCGCATCACAGGCATACTCCTGGCCACTATCAAGTTTCTATGAAAAAGAAAACAAGTCAGAGCTGGTAAATAAAGATGGAAGAGAAGTACTACATGAGAATAAGGATGAAGCTAATAATCCCTGATTAGGAGGACGGTGTTGATAGTAAGGCGGACGATAACGACCATGGCAATGTTGTAAGTCTTTCGTGAGAACACCAACTTCACAACATTATAGACGGGTATTCCTGTTGGCGACTGGTTGACGATGATGATGACGACTCATCATATAAGAGGTTGCAAGAAGAAGCAGCATGACGAGGAGGCAAATAAAGGGTTACGGTGAAGTGAAAACAGAGAGCGTAGACTTTAATTCAAAGTATGGATTGGCTCTTATTGCTTTCAGGCGACAAGGAGATATGGGAGGAAAAATAATTATGATTACATTGTATTCAATCATGTATCCACGGTCATCGGACTTGTGTAACTTCGCTACATGCTTTGCAAGCTGATCCACAAGTACGGGTGGATGATCCGCATCGTTGATGACCTCGCCTGGAGCTGCAAGCAATTTCTTCTTTGTACCTGCAATAGAAGTTACCAACTCTAAAACCCTATAGAATGTTGTTAAGCTTGTGGTCCAACGAACTTAAAAAAAAAAAGAGTTAGAAGGAATTTCTCAACATCTTTTAAAATAAAGGCATGCTTAGGCGACAAAGAGAGTACCTCACTGAAAACGGCTCAGGACAAGCAAATCCAGCATCGGTTGCTTTGAAAATATGCTCAAAGTAGTTGTTCTTAGCTCTTTTATTTTATCGTTAACAGTCGTGTTACTCGACCAATTCAGTAGAGGATTCCACCTTTCTCCTGATATACTTGACGTGCTCATAGAATCTCACATCTTAACAAAACTGGAATTTCATAATACTCGCATCCCACAAAAACCAGGAAATGCTAATTTCAGCGAGGAGGCGACAAAAAAAGCTTTTTCTTTCGCTATTTCCTTATTTTTCATCTCACATTGAAAAGCGTAAGAGTAAAACAATGCTTTTTTGTTTGTTTGTTTGTTTGTTTGTTTGTTTGTTTGTGTTTTACGTACTGGAGCGCTTCAGCTCAAACTCCTTTCGCTTTTTTTTTGTTTTTTCTGACTTTCCACATCAAGGTTGGCATTGGGTGGCCTGTTGGATCTGGTTTAAAAGAAGAAAAAAAAGAAAAAGAAAAAAAGGAAAAGGAAATTAAAGAAAAGAAGCTATTTTCACTCATAAATATGTTGCAGAATTCTGAAGGGCGTGGAATACGTAATACTATGCTAAATTTCCACGCGCAATATCTCCGGATTTAATGATTCCGGTGCTAAGATTTTCCGAATTTCGCGAAAGATATCCAAGCCGGTAAGTTTTCAGGAATTTTCGGTCTACTGCTTCCTCTTCGACGACGTTATTTGCAGCTAGCACTTTCGCACTAAGCTGCTCATTGCCTCCTCTAACTTAACTAAACTAGATAATGAGCGGCATAAGTAATTTTTAAAATGAATATCATGGTCTACGATTCAAAGCAAAAGCCGTTGGTATGTTATCTTCTTGACCACAGAATTCAAGAAAGAAATATTCATATTGCATAGCAACCGGTGCAACCATTCAGCGCAAACCTCTTTTGATAGCGGCAACTTTTAAACTGTGGGTCGCTTGACGCATTTCACTCAGTGATCATTGGAATTATTGGGTTTTTTTTTGGTTAATCTGGTTATTACCTTTGATACAGAAGAAATGCTATGATGGCAATCACGATAAGTATCAGTGCTCCCAGAACACCAGCGACTACACCAACGATGTTGTCACCCTTTTTAGCGACTGGCAACTCCTCTGCAAAATATGTAGCAACAATTTCTCTATTGTTATCTAAATGCTTCTACGTGGCTCAAGCCTAGGTTTAGAATCATTCTAGAATTGGCGTGGTAATCGGTATAGGCACCATAATACAAAACAGTGACCGTCAAAAATGCCGAATTGAGTGCATGGTCGCTCCAGACATAGACAGTGTACAACCCAATATCAACACATACGATAAGACCAATAAACCAAAACAAAAGACATTATAACCAAAGTACAAACCAGTTTCCGGCAGACTGATTGCAGCTGCTTTTCCTATAAGCCATTTCTGTACAAATAATAATAATAATAAAATCACCAGTTATTGAGATACGGCTAGACTGCGACAAAAAGAGACATCAAAGGTAAGGTATTGAAATGTCAAAAGAAACCTTGAATACTTACCCCGTTATGTTCTGTGACTCCTCTTACATACACCTTGTAACGCGTCCCTGGCTTAAGAGGAGCATTCTCATAACCACCGTAGGTCTTCCCATTTCCAAGAACAAACTCCACGGGCAGTTTTCGTCTTTCAAACACGGCCGCAATGTAGAAACGATCGCCATTTGTTTGCGCTTCCTCGAAGCCGTATATTTTCACCGGGAGGGGGGATGTTTCACGACGAGCTCTGGCTGATCCGAGCATTTCTACTATGATCTCATGCCGACTGAATGGGGAAATGTTTCAAAAAGGTCAGTTTTGATGTAAAGTAGTAATAATAAACAAGTAAGATTGGCGTTTAAATAAAAAAGAGACAAATAATGTTACCATTAACTCGGCAGTGTCGCCCGGAAATATTGTTGGAAAATAAAGTTTTTGTGTCAAAGACGCAAAAAATTCGTTTATAACATTGCACACCTTCAGTCGTGAAGGTAAATATTTCTAGATTATTAACTTTTCATAGTATTTGCAGCGAAGTTTGACCAGTGTTCAATATGTTCAACCCGCTATCTACATATTCAACTTCTTAGACTAATGGATTTTCCGAGAATGTCCTTATTTAGGAGGAAGACTGATGAATTTTTAACCGATTACAGAATGAAAGATGATGTTATTCATTTAACGACAAAGGTATAGTTGGGGAAAAAAAACAAAACAAAACAAAAAACAAAAAAAACTCTGAGTGCTGAATTCTTCTGCAATAGGAGAAATCCCCCCCCACCTCCCTCTCAATAAACGCAGTCGTCATAATTTTCACTTTTGCTTTGTTTTCCAGTGGAGACCGGTCATTTTCCCCCCATGAGGCTTTGCCTCCCCTTCTCCCTTCCTTATTGGCAGTCAGCTTTTCTACAGCCCCTCTTTATAATCTGTTAGTGACGACTGATCCCCATCTGTTCTCCGTTGAAAACCCTGTGATGGCGATACAACAATGACCGGAAGTAAAATTACAAAAGCCACTCTTACATACGGATTCCTTAACACTCACATGATCTCTCCGTTAGTGTCATCGGATGGCGATAAAGAGATCGTAATTGTTGTTGTTGTAACGTCAGCTTCGACAACTTGGGGGAGTTTGGGCGGAGGAGGTTCTGTAAACAAGAGAACAAAAGTAAAAAAAAAATGCAAAAATATGTCATCACTGAGATCCTTTCAGATGACATGAGAAAAAAGATTAAAGATTAAACCGGACCTTTGGTCATCTAAAGAAATGAACAAACTAGTAGTCCAATTTACACATCCTAAGCAATGTACAAATCTTTACTTTTGCGTATCGTCCGTCGATCCGTCTGTCTAACGATCTTTCTGTCTACCTGACTTTCTGTTTGTCTATCAATGAGTCTGTCGATCAATGTATCTGTCTATCTATCTGTTTGTTTATCTATATGTCTGCATAGCTATATCTCTGTTAATCTGTCTATCTGTCTGTCTATCTGCCCATCCGTCCTTACGCCTGCTTGTGTCATTCTTTACCCACTACTCAAAGATTGAGCGAGTTGCTTGCTGACCCCATTCGAATTATCAAACTAAAATTCATCCCAGTTAAGTTGAGAACGAAGGAGGCACATGGCATTGATGCACTGGGCCAATGTTCTACAAGCTGAACTACAGTTCCAACATGTTCACACCAACAAACAAAACATTTTCACATACGTTTTGATGGTGTCTCCACCACCGCAGAATCACTTTTGGCTCCATACCCTTTGGCTGTTTTTGCTTTCACATAAACACTATATTGTGTACCAGGCTTCAACTTTTCCACTGATATCTCAGTGCTCCGAGAGGTTTCGTCTAAAACTATTTCATGGTTATGTTGAAAGGAAGTGTTATATGCTCTTTTACCCTCAAAGTATACCTGAAAATCGAGGAAGATACAACATCTCAGAGAAAGACAAACAAATGCAGTGGTAATGAGAAGGGGAAAATTTGTTCTGAATTCACAGAAAATTTACACACTTAAACTTCAGGGTTCCGATGGTAGGAAATGGGCAGTGGCTCCTTCCTTTTCTTACGGGTTTTTTTAATTTGAAAGCCTACATGTGTCATTACTGAAAAGAACATAACACAACGGGAGCTGATGATAGAACCATAAACCTCCAAAGCGTGCTTGTCACTAGGGCATTATCCCTCAAAAATTGAAGCTTTCGATTACATGAGCATGACAAAATGCATTCTAGCAGAATAGTCATCACACATTTTAACCAAGCTCGAAAAAACTACCAAATGAACAAATTCACAGCGAAACAAACACTAAACAAAAACAAAACGAGACAAAAAAGCAAAGCAAACAAAATCAGACACTCAAATAACGCAATGTGGCAATATCTCATGCAAAATTTACGAAAATCGGCTGATTTATTTTGGGCCTACAGGGCGTGAAATTAATTTTTTTTTTTCTGATAGCCACTTGGCTCCTAAATTTTTCAAAGTGGTAGCCAATTCGAAAAAAGTTGGTCGCTATTTCTAAAGACAAACAAAACCTCTTTTTGTGCTGTCAGCGTTCTAGATAGACCCTCTAAAATTAAGTTAAAAAAAAAAAAGATCTTAAATATGCTACAAAGTGGACGCTAGAATGAATGATATTCAACGTTCAAGCTCACGTAAATCCAAGATTGTGTCTGGTTATCGATCGAGACGCATGTGCTGCGTTTTGGAAACCAACTTAACCAGGAAGTTTGCCGCGGATTTAATTTGTCTTTGCAAATCCTTTTAATTCACAGTATATCTCTAGGTAAGATTAAGATGAAGTATTCTAGTCGCCAATTTGGCGACTAATTTTCAGGATTTGGTCGCCAAAGTGAAACATTTAGTCGCATTGGCGCCTGTATTAGGCGCAATTTCACGCCCTAGCCTATCTTTGTTGTAGTTGTGGCTGTTGTTTAGGGTCTCACTTGACTTGTAAAAAATATCTTACATGATTACAAGATAGTTTTCAGCCAAGACTGAAATGTAAACTTGCACGCTTCGAGACCATTAGTTCGCCTGAATAAATTTTTGATAGGTTTGATATTGAACGGATTTTTGCAGTGTAGCTCACCGAGTACTTAGTGATAATTCCGTTGTGGTCCTGGGGATCCTTCCATGTAACAGAAATTCCACCTTTGTCAAGTTTCGTAGTGACATCTCTGGGCTGACTTGGGACTACAACAAATCATAACAATTGCTTTGAGATCAAAAAATTGTATGACGAAGATACGGAACGCTTGTAGAGGAGTTAAATTGTAATCGGTGTGAAAATACTTGAAGTGTTAGTGTTCCCATGCGTGTACCATTCGCGGAACAGATCTAGATCAACTATTGGTGTCAATGAAAGGGTAGAACATTTGCGCGTGTGCGAACGTTGAAATAACTAGATGAAGTGCTTCCAGGCTGTCAGAACCAAAATTTATCTCAAACGTTACAAACAGCGATACCAGCTAGTAAGTTACGGTATTTAGAGGCGTATAACGGTTTTTGTAAATCAACAAGATACCCGTAAATGAAAAACAGGATAACCCGTAAATTACACGAATGCGTAGGTTCGTGCAATTTTTTTGGTCTTTGAAAAAATTTACTCGTGCTTATTTATTCCAAATTGCTCTCGAAATCAAGTGATTACCCGTACAAATGGTTTCAATTATTGGGAAAAGAAGAGAAGAGAGAAAATCTTCGACCAGCTTCGTTCAATATGAAAAGGTATGCACTATACCTCCTTCCTCTGTTCTTGCTGTGGCGTTAGCCATTTCCCCAGGTTTAATTGTAACGGCCTGGATTGTGAACGTGTAGTCTGTATAATACTTGAGACCTTGTATCAGCCTTCTGTGTTGCTGCATGTCTGACTCCTCGTCAGCGCTCTGGTTGCGTACGTTTCCGACCTGTAAGCCGGTTTTAGTATTGTAGATCTTTATGTAATAGAACCTTACAACTCCATTAGAATTATCAGGCTCCTTCCATGTAAGATGAACATCAGCACCTGTTACAACCTGAGCCCTAAACTCCTTTGGCGGTCCAGGACCTAGGATGCAAAAAGGAAATAAATTAAAATAACAATAAGAATAAACAAAAATAGTCAACCCACCAATCCATCGAACAAGTGATCATACATTCAGTTATTTAAGCGACGTAGTTCCCATTCTATAGTTATTTTAGTGTAAATACGATCGTAAGAAGATGAGAACGAGAAAAGCATGTAAATCACGAAGCAAAGGCGACCGCTGAGCTTTTCACGAACCATGAACTATTTCCAACATTCATTGTCATCAACCACTTCGAGGTTATCATGGAATCAATAACACAATTCATCATAATTCATTGTTATAATTGACCATTCCAGTAGTCGCTGCATCTTCTCTCTTTTAATTCAAAATTAATTCTTCCCAATTGTTTCCTACAGCAAATAAATGTCTGGCACTTGAACCCACGACCTCCAGCCCGGTAGTCCGACGTTCTAAAACATGAAAAATCTAGTTTCCCGGAATACAAGTAACACTTGAAAACCATGAATCATTAGTATTTACTTACTATCTTCGAAAGTTGTGACATTGAATACTTCAGAAGCATTTCCCGGTTTCGATGTACGACCCCTGACTTTCACATAGTAAGTCGTATATTTGTTCAAGCCGTCTATAATACGTTTACGCGTGCTTCCAGTCACTTTTTGCTCATAACTTTGTACGTCCTTGCTGGTTCCATACAATATTATATACTCTCCTATGACTCCATTAGGGTAAGCTGGTTCCTCCCACGTTACAATAATTGAAACAGAAGAAACGGCCTGAACTTTAACATTGAGCGGACGGCTTGGACCTTTTAAAATGAATAACAGTACAAGATTTGAATAAGTTTGAGTGGTTAGTAATTACTCAGTGGCTTAAATAAACACAGTGAAGAAAAAAGAAAAACAAACAAAATAACAAAATAAAGTTAATATAAAACAACAAAAAAGATTAAGATCAAGAAAAACGAAAAGCCCAGCAGATTTTAGGCTATTTTTGATCAGAGAGTTTAATGTGCCACGAGCACCTCAAGAAAAACAACTATTGGAAAAACAGAGACAGAAGTTTTTCATCAGAAATTGAGTGTAGTTTAAACCGATCAAAGCCTCACTCAGTTATTTAGCTATTTTTTTTTCTATTGTTGTCGTCGTCTTTTGTTTCCCCGAAGAAAAAACCTCTCAAATCATATTCCCTTAATTCAAGGATGATAATGAATCAAACTAAATTCAATGATGGCATACCTTTATCCAATGTCTGGACATCTGTGCAAGGGCTCGGTGGTGACTTTCCTACACTTGTAAACCCTTGGACTTGGATGCAGTATGACGTAAATGGCTTCAAGCGCGTGATTATTGTGTTTGTATTTGTTACATCAAAACTTAGCACTTTTTCTGTTCCATTTTCTTTGTATGAAACCTCGTATCCCAATATGAGGCCATTTTGATCCTCTTTTTTAATTTCATTCCATTTGACTCTTATGGTGTGCGCATCCTCGGCCTTTGTCTCCTGTTTGTTAATGACTGGAGCGGAACTGGGAGCTGTAGTTGCAAGTCAGAATAAAAGAATCAGAAGATCTATGTCAGCTAACATCTTCGTTAAACTTAGAATGTTGTATCTAAGAAGATCGATGACCGATATGACCGATATTAAACATGACGTATTTTTGACATGTCACCATTCTCAAAGGCAAATAGCTAATGGTCATGAACCCATTATCTTCTAGGTATGCTCATGCTTTGGTTCTAAAGATCTATTGCATTTCTTTACATTCAGTACGTCATCCGTGGAGAATACATTTGTTAACCTAAAATAATAAACACCTGTAACATGAAGTGACGCAAACATTGAAAGTATCGCGTGGTACTTGTAAGTTATTTGGATGCTACATGAGGCTGCCACCTGCAGACATTGATGAACGAAAACCAAAGCAAAAATAAACAACAACAACAACAATAACAACAACCTAAAACTGCACTAACCATCTTCTTTTGTCTCTGCCGAAAGAATACTGGAGGCAAACCCAGAAACAGCCGTTTCAGCGTGGACTTGAACATAGTAAGTAGAGAACTCATCCAGTGGGGTCAGTAAGTACTCTGTGTTTGTGGGATACACCTGTGTATTCATGCTATCTTTTGATAAACCATACCTCACCACGTAACGTTTGAAGACACCATTAAGCTTCAAGGGCGCACTCCACGACGCTTTAATCTCTGTGGATGACTCAACAGTCAATTTGAAATCCCTAGGAGCTGTAGGAGCTGGAACAAGTCAAATATAACATTTCATTTCAGTAGTCTAATTTGAATACTGCATGTATTCAAGCTAAAATAACAGTTTAAGACCAAAACTATGCTTGACATATATAAATTATGTAATTATATTCATGTTCATAGCAAAGTGTTTGTTGTTGTTGTTGTTTTTGTTTGTTAAAAGAGTAGATTTGAAAAATCGAACTAGTTTCAAACAGCAAGAAACCAAAAATTATAACAATCATAACATTTTCCAGCTAATCTAACCAATAAAAACTATTTTTAACCAAATTGTTGGCAAAAAGTTGTAAAAAATAGCTCCCTTACCTCCTTCATTTGGCTGTATGCTCACAGCTTTGGTAGACAAACCAACACCAGCAACAGTGTACCCAGCCATTTGAACAACATAGGTTGTAAACTCAAGTTCTGTCAGTTTATCTGAAAGTTCTTGCGGTCCAACAGTCTTGTTATACTCTACTGCAGATCCATTCACCTTGTAGTAAATATAGTAACCCAACAGCTCTCCATTCTGTTCTTTTTTAGGAATGGCATCCCAAGATATGTCCAATGAAAGAGAGGAACTAGAACTGACTTTAAAGTTTCCTGGAGCAGCAGTGGGAGCTTTGAAAATAATCAAACAAGTGCAACTGTCATCAAAAAGAAGAGCAACAACATCAAGAAGAGAAACAACAACATATTTAGTTAGCCCTTTAACTCCCAGATCAAATTTGTCGTTCTCCCTACTATCAACCATACTGTTCTTACAATGTTATTTCAGAGAATCTAGTATTGGATCAACTAATTATGTGGTTGATATTGTATTGATATTGTAAGGAGAAATTATGTCTTGGTCTCTCATGGGAGTTAAAGGGTTAAATGCAGATTAATTAGTGACTAATTCTACTGTAATTGAAACTTTAAAAGTTACAAGTAAAGTGGCCATAGAAACAGGTTTTCCTGGAGTCTTGACTATTTAAGAAAGTGAGGGAAGATGAGGGGAGCTTGTTTAAGAGGGGAGCTTGTTTGACATTATGAACAGAGAAGGGGGGAGGAGGGTCTTATTCGCAGAGGGCACCTAATAGAAAGAGGATACATTTTCTGGGTAAGACGGCATTTGGGTCAAAACATTTTATAAAAGCCATGTAGCGAATGCCATGTGAAATCAGGACCTACTGCATGTGTACCACTTTTAAGTCAGGATTGTCAGTACATGTATCTATAAGGAACATGCACTTTCCATGAAATGTCTTGCCTACTTTCTTACATGTATAAGACACTTCACGTCACACCATACAAGTACATAATACATTTTTTTTTATGAATTTGCAGCTTTTCAATGTGGCAACATACATACTTGCACACTTGTATGCACAGTGCCCATAAGAGTCTCTGAGTTCATAAGTACATGTGGACAACACAATGCCCACACCTAAATTTTTCATAAATTGCTCAATTTGTTAGGCTACTACAAGGGAAAAGAACTAACCACATGTATTAACCCTTTACAATCTAACATCAGTATGCATATTCTCCACACTGTTCTCTATACATTTCCTAAGGTGCTGGCAAGGAGAATTAGCTTAATGATCCAGAGCTTCTGTTGATCATTTCCATTATTCTCATAACCTAAGTGTGTGATTCAGGGGTGATATTTGTAAGGAGAAATAATATGTTAGTCACTCTTAGGGGTTAAAGGGCTAACACTTCAACTCCCATAGGTAACCAGGAAAGAAATTCTCCTTTCAATATAAATACAATACTGGAGACAAGTGGAGAGGATAAAGAGGAGTATCACTTAAGGGACTATTTGTTGATTCAATACCAAATTCACAGAACTAACATCATAAGAATTGAATGGTAGAAGTAATGAGAATTAAAAAATAAGATTGTGGGAGTGAACACACCTTAACACCCTAACATCAGTATGCATATTCTCCATCCTGTTCTTTATGCATAAGGTGTTGATAAGGAGAATTTGTTTACCAATCAAGAGTTTCTATAATTGGTGATCATTTCTTTTATTCTCATGACCTTCATGTTTAATTCAGGGATGATATTGTAGGAGAAATAAAAAGCTTATCCCTCTTTGGGGTCAAATGGTTGAGTAACCCGTGTTAACCTTGTTATAGAAATTATTTTACATGTTGATGGGTAATTTTACAACTCACTTGACTCTTTTGTTCTCACTTCCAGTGGAACTGACCAAGGGCCATCCCCATTACGACTTTCTGCTCTCACATGGATGTCATACCATGTGTAGGGTGTTAGCTTATCCAGTGTCACAGATCTGTTCCCTGTAACTTCTTTTTGGTAAATTTTGGGTTCTCCAGCAGCCTGCCACTTAACAGAGTACCCTGTTATTCCATCCCCTTCATCCGTAGGAGCACTCCATGAGATTACAATTTTGGTTGATGACACAGACTTTGTAGAGAGTGAGGATGGCTGACCAGGCAAGCCTAAAAATATTAAAAAATAGATGTGATAAAACAATATAGATATTAGAAATAAATTACTTAAATGGCAATAGTAACATTCCCTCGCATTCCCTATTTAATTTGACGCCATCAATGTACATTACAACAGCTTGCAATATTCTCCCTCACCTGTGGTCAAATTACACCCATAAAGCTCAAATCTGAGAGCACAAGCGTTGGAGCAGTTTGTGGGATGCAATCTTATGTACTGAGCTATTACAGAAGGTTTGAAAAGAACTGTTTTGGTCTTAGTATCATCTACATTGGCTTGAAACACCTGAAACAAGAAATAAATTTTAAAAAATAATTACTTGTTGATAACTGCAAACTTAATTTTTACGCATCACAAAGATAAGCAATTAGTGACAGAACCTCAGCTCACACCTTAACACCCGTGTGCACTACACCATACCTACACTACCCCTTCCAACCCCACCCCCACCCCTCCTCAGTCAGCTCCCAGCAGCCCCATTACAAAAAGGAGAAACCCACCAGCCCTCTAAAAATAGAAGAGATCAAAATAACCAGGCAGGTAGGCAGGTATAAAAGGAATTTTATTAATAATATTATTCAGCTGGTACCTTAACTTTTCCTTGCTCTGTATAGTTTTTCCACTTGTTTCCATCAGAACTGTAACTTACATAATAGCGATTGACATAAGAGCCAGAAAAGCCTTGTGTGGCAATCGCAGTGATATTTCTTGAAAAATGTAAGTTCACTTTTATCCATGGATCATTATCATTGGGATTAGGAAGCCATGCTTTGCTGTTGCTTAACCGTGCATAGTAAGGAGATGAATCAGAATTATTTTCTGATGATGCTGTGATATCACTGTTTGGAATAATATCTCTTGCCATACCAAGATCAGGTGTGGAACAACCTAATGAGGCATTAATGAAAATCATGTTAACTTCAGTTTCTAAAGTGGATCATCAAATAATTTATGCACAAGGAGCTCACCCAGATAGATAAACCTAACTTATACTACCTTGCTTCTCCTCTAAGTAGATCTGTACATAGATATGATATAAATAATAGCAAAAAGTGGAACACTTTAATCAACATTTGATACATTTAAATGAAATGATTTTCTTCCTTTTCTTTTTTTTGCTTTTGTTTAAATGCAATGAAGAGAAAGGTGCTGACAGCTCTTGATCACTTTTTTTTTTCATTTTTCCCTGTCAATAGGTCATTTTACAGTAGTGTACTTAGTTGCCAAGGCTTTGATTTGGAGAGAAGCCGAAGGTAACCTAATTGTGATAGAGACCAGTATCTAGCTAGCATGATAACAAAGTAATTTACATTTGAAAAACAGCAATGTTTGTATCATAACAAGGTCACCCTTAGCCTCACTACTGTTCAGAGGCTTGGCAACCAAGCATGTAACTGTAAAATGGACTATTCTAAATATCCAAACCAGCTAAGTTAGAAGAGAATGATTTTGTAAATGATTTTGAACAAGAAAAGAACAAAAATTGCTGTACTTTGAAAGCTAATAGGCCATGACCCATCAGAGAGCAAGAAGTGACCAGTTCATACTAAGTATAACATGTAAGTGTGCATTATCATACCTGAACTGGAAGCTTGTGTACCTGTAAAAAAATATTTATATAGAATTTTTAGGTTCACAGGAATTCTCAACTTCCATTAATATAACCAGTATGTCATGGTGTATAAAAAAAAAAAAAACAAAAATCCAATAAAAATTTACATTTCCTTAGCTGTATAACAAGAATCCTATGAAAAAAAAAAACCTAGTATGTATTCAAAAAAAGTTAATGAATACATTTCCCTTTGAATCAAGTTGATACTCATGGGTCAACATCATTTCATTCTGTGAGGATGCATGTGGAAGTTTATTCCATATCATCACATTTCTTTTGTTGATGAGGTAAAAAGATGATGTACAGACGAACCTCAATTATCTGGATTTCTCGATTATGCAGACTTTTTCTCTGGTCTCAATTTTGTTATAAATATTTATTGGTCATGACCAAGATCCGTAGCCATATTCCTTTCATCAAAAAAAAAAAAAAACAGCAATGAAAAGTGAAGTAAAGGCAAGTTTGTGTTGCTTATAACTCTCAATGCTCACATGATGTTCTTCTTTGAGACAAGCTGACTTACTTTAACATTTCAACATTTTAGGCCAATTTTCATGAATTATTATTGTAAATAAATATGTGTATTCGTAACAGACACTGAAGATGTAGACTATATCTTTTTTTCCAAACGATTTGTAAATGCTTTGTTTCACAATTAAATGTTGCTTTCTTAATTTAATCAGTTTTTGTTCCTCATTAATATTCATATCTCAATTATCCCACAGACTGTTTCGTCTAGTCCCAACAAATCCAGATAATTGAGGTTCAACTGCGTTACACAAAACAGTTACACCACTGTTTGGTTTGGTTCAAAGGAATTTTTCACCAGATTTATCCCCTAAGAGTGACTAGCTTCTTTTTTCCTATTTCGGTTTCATAATAAAGGAAATGATCACCAAATTAGGGAGCTTCTGAATTGTCACACATAATTATTCTCCTTGTCAGCGCCATAGGAAATGAAAAAAGAACAGTGTGGAGAATTTGAATGTTAATATTGGGGTGCAAAGGGCTAAGGATTGCTGCAGATTTGCATCCTAATATTATACTTTTCATGTGGTTATTTTCACTTCATCCAGTAGAAGAAAAAATCAAAATACCACTTAAGACTAAGTCAGTATTATTCAGAGGATAATGGGATTAAGGTGACAAAAACTGAATGTGCTCCAATGTCCAAAGTTTAATTTAAATCTCAGTATTTAATTTTGGAAAACATCTGAAAACCATGTCAAGGGTTTGAAATTAACACAAATTTATAGCTACAATCTTAACCTAGATCAAGAGGAAGGACCTTTTGCATAATATCATTTCTCTGTTACTGAAATAAAGGGGAATTAGGTAATCAAGATTCTCCACCACAGCTTGTTTGTGCCATTTTTAGTACTATAGGCACAGATAAATAAAGTTCTTTAGAATTTATAACAGTCCTCCATCTAAAAGTACAAATTAGGTCTCTAGTATTTATGCAGACTTGTGTATGTTCAACTTGATACTTGCTGGATCTTGATAACAGGGAAATACAGAAAGGCTGACATGAAAATTCAAAGGACATGCAAACAAATTATTCTATCATTAAAAATGCATTGTCAGTTCATATAGCTTATCCCTTTTTATATAAGAACCAGTAATCACAGATCTAAAAAGTATTGTGAATTATAATCATTACCGTAACAGCAATAAGAGCTCTGATAAAGAAAACCTCCACGCTGGTAAAACATCTATACTAGTTTGAAGGGGTGTAAGTAAATTCTAACACAAACTACTTCACCTTGATCAAAAATTTATTTTACCAAATACTATGCCAGAGTTTATTTGACATTCGTTATAAGACATTTTGCACATTGCACATTGTGATGAAGTGAGCGGCTTTTATATACTGAGGTAAAGAAGTGGAAAATTTCCTCTTGTCTTATAACCCTTTCAGTCCAAAGTTCTAATTCTCCTTACTATCTGCTATAGTCAATGCTCGTGATTTTGGTTGGATGAATTTGGGGTTGGATGAACTAATGGTCCCAGAGTAGATATACTTTTTTAAATTCTCATCACTTTCCTGCTTGACATTGTATTGATAATGTAAAGAGTAATTCTGTTTTGGTCACTCATAGGAGTTCAAGATTTCAACTGTAATGATTTGATTAAATGCAGTGTGCTTTTTTTAATTTTGGTAAAATAAGGGAGGGTGCTTATTCAAAATAGGGCCCCTATTAGGAACAGGGCACCTATTTCTGTTTTGAGAAACAACAGAATCTGTGAAACAAAGGTTTGACATAATGGTTGATGGACTGCGAGGAAGACCAATGATTTAGTAGTGAGGCTCAGTAGAGAGCAATAAAAGGA